ATTCCAGTCAAGGTCTAGCCAAGCCAAGCCAACACAGGGGACGACGAGTCGGACCGGGGGTGTGAGCGTGGATAGATTGAAGCGTGCTGGGTTCCGTATGAGAGGAAAGGCCCCAAAGAGGCCCCGGGTGGATAAAGGGAAAAAATTAGGGACGTGGCTGGCCTGTGAAAATCGCGCTTCCCAGGTCGTGGAGGACATGGGAGGTGACAGTGGTGCAGGTCAGCAGCGAGAGGTGCCACGGGGCGGGAGCGCTTGCCGGACGGACTGCGGACTGACGACTGCAGCACACTGGAGCTGGAGGTGGGTGCTGAACAATGGGCCGAGATGGCGGGCGACGTGAGCTTGCTGTTGTTTTCCACCTTACGGCAAAGTTCCTACTGATACCTTGGACCAACCTGCCCACAACACCACCCTCCAATCCTGTGATTGTCGTCATCACCCAGCTGCGTCGTCCTGCTATTGGCCAGTTGAGTCACAAATCAAATGATCGGAAAAGGTTGACTCTGTCATTTCATTCCATCTCAAGATCGAGTCTCCAACCATGTTCTGGTCACCTACTGAAAAGGAGAAACCGCTGAAAACAAAAAGCAGCTGGAACACATGCTCAGACAAGCGTTGGCTATCGTTCCTACGCTGCAGGAGCCAGAGACTACCTATGCCTGAAGATATGCACATGGCGAGGTGCCCTGGTCTCGTGTATCTGAGTCTCAAGCATGTGCGAAAGAAAAGACGCGATGCGACGCAGACAGAGACATTCACCTGTATGGCTGCGAAGATGGCAATGATTAATCTCGGGGAGCCGTCCCAGCGTCCGATGCACCGGCTCGCGGCGGAAACGCGCGTTTGCTCAGTCGCACTTCCAGCACGGAGGGAGTCTGGGATTCCCACCACTCGGTCGCCCCTTTGGGGGCTAGCCTGGCCCGGTCTGAGCTTCGAATCTCCTATCCCTGCAGCCCTGTGCTGGAAGAGGGGCAAAAGGGGTTTGGGGGATTCCCACAGCGTACCCGTATCGGCGTATTCAGACCTCATTACGATGGACGGGGCTGCAAGATTCGGGGTAGGTAGGGGAGCACTATCGAAGGCTATTGCGGAATGCCAATTTGCCGAACCGGTATCTTGTGTTGATATTACGATGGCCACCTTCGCCAAACAATACGAGACAAAGGACCAAAGAATGGAAGTCAGGTATCGACAAAATCGCCAAACAAGTAACCCGTACCTTGCCATTTCCACCCGGCAGGATTGGCAAGGTGGCCTGAACAGCTGAAGAGACAGCTGCAATGCTACCACACCCAAGCTGTCTGACACCAACGAGCATGATGCTGTGCGAAACCAAGAAAAGGCACACCTCCCTTCGCCTCACCATGCCTGACCATCCATTGCGGTTGTCGCTTGCCGTTTCTCCAACTTGATGCAGATGCATGTACAAATACTTTGCCGCCCCCTTTGACTGTCATTGGGCACCCGTTTCATCGCCGCTATGCCCTGCCCTGGCATGCACTGAGACCTGCTGCCGACGAACTCACGATGCGGTGGCCCCAGTTGCTTGGGGCCAAACATACAGCGATCCTCCCTCTATTTTGGGCGTTCCGGTTCTCTCAGTCTCTGCCAGGTGTTTGGGAGTCGAGCGTTACGTTTGGAAAAGTCTGGGACGGGTAGATGCCTGGGATGATCCCGCCTGTTCGGACTGCACTTCATACAGGTGCTCAGACGCATCTACACAGGCTCTGTCATGGCCTCCGCTTGTTCTCCGGGCCAGGCAGCCTCCGAAGCAGCTTACCCCCGTAGAGCCGCTTTAGCTCATTCAGGTAGACCTGCAGCGCTGCAGAAGTTCGTTTTTCCCTTCTTGCTACTTCCCTCTTCTTCATATGAATGAGATGAGGCATTTCGCAACGCGGTGAAGGTATGGCCGAGTAGGTTGTCGGCAATGGAAGGTCTGTGCAGATAGGAAAGGGCCGGGCTCATTGCGTCGAAGCGTTCAACCGAGTGCTTCTTTCCTTCCTTGCACCTGTCACCACCTCCCCTCCTGCTGCATTCTGCAAGCCTCACATCAGGGCACCTGCCCATCGTCCAATTATCCAGGAAGGCAGTCACCGCCGTCTCGTCCCATGTCGTCAGCATCCCGTCCCATCCAAGGCATCCCGCCCCCACGCCCGCGCATCGCTAGCACAATCTGCGCATTCCCAACTGTTCCAGTAGCTTAGCTTTGCCACATGGGCCTCTTCTCATCCATTTCCTTCTCCCCTTCTTCTCAACATGTGTCCCGCTCGTCTTCCCACCTTTCGTCGTTACTGAGACCTGCAGCTGCCACGCCTCATTGATCAATCATTCAAATCCCAAATCCATCGGAGTAGCGGCGCTGCCACAGCTCCTCTGGTTGACAGCAGCCCTTGATTCTTCGCTCGCATCTTGGCATGTGAAGTCCTTTCCCCCCCTCACCACATGACATTACAGCCCCTCAACCCCTCTAATGATGACAACTCACCACAAGCCTCCACTTCGACCCGGATTTCCCCCGGATTATTCTCTCACCCGGCCAGCTGCTCTACCACATGTTCTTCGCGTAAGCATAGAACGCTGCTCCCGCCCTCTCCAGCACGACTCAACCCACTTCATGCCATCGCCTACATGTAGGTGGGTGTCAACAGGAGCGTTTTAGGAAGCAGACCACATGAAATGGTCCTGCTCGAGCCTGATCGAGGCATCTCCCACCGTATCCACGACCAATCATCTATCGATCCGATCTGCGTGTGTGCCACTTCTCCGCATCCCCCGCTCTCTCCGGGGTCATTGCATCTCCGATGATCCCGATGCGGCCGATCACACGGGGCGCCGTTCATGGACACCAAATTGCAGGCGGCCAGCTGACATGCCGAGTTCATACGTGACCTCGGACGACTAGGTTGCTCATTATGAACCGTTCCCGTCGCCTGCCCAGTGGCCCTCCGTCATAAGCATTCTTTCCGAACACTCTCCTTGATAGCTGAGTCCAGCTATCACTCAGCTGACACAACATAGGTCCATCATGGATTACACGGCACCTTGAGGCACCGCGTAGTAACCGTGCAATGGCTGCTGCTACGATGTGAGAGCTATCTCTGCGGATTTCATCACACGGCGAGCAATATCGTCACAACGGCCGTAAATTACTTGGGTGCCCTCTCATTCTGCTTTCGCCAAGACGTCGCCGTCCCGATCTCAACGTGTCCGCCTCCACGCGCCAGAGGGGCACACCAATGACGCCGCTGGCGACAACGTCGAGGACAGAAACGGCACAGACGCAAAGTTCCGCCGCCGTGGTTCTAAGCCACATGGCATTCTTCAAGCCTAAGGGGGCTATCTAGAGCTTCCGATGGCTAGCAATAGTGTCCATCATCGGCTATCGTTGCCGTCTCTGCAATTTATCCAACAGCATGGTCAGGATGATTGAGCAAAAGACGTGGCTCTTTTGAACAGGCAAGCGCAACTAGGTCATCAATCAAGTGTTTGGCTTTGCGGCGTAGTATAAGTAAGGTTCCGAAGACAACTCTCCAGCAGAGATGAAGTCGGGTCAGTCATAGCTGATTGGTTCCTGAATCAATGCAACGCACCCCGGACAACTCAAGTTTGAGTGGATCCCATTGTCGATCCCACTTCGATCACCGTGTGGAAGGTGTAGTCCACCGAGCTCACCGAATCAGAAAAGTTGGGATGATCCGGACACGAACAACCCCCATACAAATATGATGAGCTTACGGACAAGTGCCGGCGGAGTTACCCAATGGTTGCCGCTATTATAAGTGTCACTGCGTACGGAGTTTGGTCCGGGCTAGGCTGAGGCTCGCAACCTTTTCAACGATACCAAGTGGATTCACTTCTAGCATGTTTTCATCAGTTGCGATAGTCCCGCACGTATCGACTTGAGCGTGCCGGTGATAGAATCGTCTCCACGTGTCGTTCAGTAGAAAGTGTCGACTGCTTTCTGCTCACGCACGTCTGTGTAACCATGAAATATCGGTCTTCCCAGAAGTCTGGCCAACGGCCAACAGCGTGTCCCAATGACGGCTTGAAACCCAATATCCAGGTATTCTTCTGACGATACCTGTTGCCAAGAAACTTAGTAGGCGGTGGGCGCGTAGCCAATGGGGGCTGCCATGAGGAGGCCGTTGCTTGCCGCGTTCGGGAGGGTGTCTCACATTCCAGACATGGCTGTATGTTCCTGTCAATCGAAAACCTCGTCGAAGCCGAAGAGGACGATCACTTTGACCAGAATTGACTCCAATTGGCGCTTCAGCATCTCAAGAAGACCCACCACTTACAGACCCTATCTGTCAACATGTCTGAGTGTGTCGGCCAGAACCTCGCGTGGCTGGCGCAACGCATGGAGTGACCGGCAGGGGATAGATCGCATGCAGAAGGCTCCGGAGCAGGCACGTTGGCTTGTGGATATCCGCCCTGATGGGACCGTCTAATACGGAAGTGATGGACGTCCAGAATCACTTGGCCACGCGGCTGAAGAACTACCGAAAGTGATCTGGCCAAGGGACGGAAGACTTGGAGTGAGGACGGTGGGCAAAGAGAGAACCGCATGCAGTTATGTCGAGAAGGAAACGGCGATGACGACAGGCCATCTCTTTATCGACCTTTGAGCCCCAAGCAACGCCAACCACCCCTAGTGCGAGCGCGGGTCGAGCCCCGGCTGCAGCCTCACCCTTCTCGCCCGTCGACCAACAACAGGCAACCCCACCGCCGATTACCACCAACACAGCCAGACCTGTACCATCTGGTCCAAGCTGAGCGCTCTAGAAGCTGGCAATCCGGGGTGGCGCCTCATTCTTATTTTCTTATTTTTACTTGACTTGCAGCTCTTCCCTTCCCTTTTTGACAGCCTTGTCTCCTCAGGGTTTTCATCGCCTTCAATATTCAAAAGGGATCTTCCTCACCTTCCCTTCTCTAGCTTCACAATCCCAGGATTCCACCAGAGTCAACAAGAAAATTATCTCATCCTCGCGTCGCACAGGATGAAGTCTGGAATCCTCGTCGCCGTCGCTGGCGCCGCCGCGGTGACCTCTGTCACTGCCTTCTCCTTGCCCTTTCACTTCGGCCGCCGCACCGTCCAGGGCCACGGATACCTCAGCATTCCGGTTAACGAGGTCAAGCCCGATATGAGCGAGTTGTCTAAGCGCGATGCTTTCGAGGTTCTCATCAACAATCGCCAGTTCTACTATTCTATGGACAGTGAGTATCGCTAGGGTCGTTCCTCTTGGGAACTCGACTAACGAAAATCCACTTCATAGTCATGATGGGTACTCCGGGTCAGAAGGTTACGGTCCTCCTCGACACCGGCTCCTCGGAACTCTGGGTCAACCCCGACTGCAGCACCGCTTCCACCGCCAGCCAGGCCCGTCAGTGCTCTGCCGCCGGCCAGTATGTTCCCCGTAACAGCAAGACCCCGCCCATCGGTCCCTTCGATTCCCGGAAGCTCAACTACGGCGACCCTTCCCAGCCGTCGACCCAGACCAGCGCCGAGATCGCCTACTACAGCGACACTATCGGCCTCGGCTCCGGCACTGTCCTCAACCAGACCTTCGGGGTCGTCACCAAGAGTAGCGGCATAGCAACCGGCATCCTTGGCCTCGCCCCCGATCTGCGCAGCGGCTACGCTCCTGGCAAGCCCTACAGCCTGGTTCTCAACAGCCTGAAGGACCAGGGCGTCATCAACGTCCGCGCCTTCTCCCTCGATCTGCGTCACGCCGGCTCGGACACTGGTGCTCTCATCTTTGGCGGCGTTGATAAGGGAAAGTACATCGGTAAGCTCGAGAACGTCCGCCTCATCGCCGGTTCGCGCAACGAGCCTCGGTAAGTTTCATCCCCTTTGCCAAAGTTCATCCCGTGTAGTTCTCTCATCTAACGAACCCCAGCCTTGCCGTCACGCTCGGTGGACTGGGTCTCTCCCTGCCCAACACCCAGACCAAGACATACACCATCTCCGACGACGACAAGAACGTGATGCTCGACTCCGGCACCACGCTCACCCGCCTCCACCCTTCCCTCGCGAACCCCATTCTCGCAGACCTCAAGGCCACAGCCGATAGCGACGGATACTGGGTCGCCGACTGCAACCTCCGCACCCCGCCCCTGTCCAACGGCGGCAGCGACGCCTACGTCACCTTCCAGTTCGGCCGCAAGGTGCTCCGCGTGCCCCTCAGCGACTTCATCCTCGACATCGGCCCCAAGACGGGCGTCTGCTACGTCGGGCTCGTCACTACCAGCGACCAGCAGATCCTCGGCGACAGCGTCCTGCGCGCGGGCTACTTCGTCTTCGACTGGGACAACCAGGCCGTCCACATCGCGCAGGCCTCGAACTGCGGCAAGGAGCAGATCATCACCCTCGGCAAGGGCACGAGCCCCGTCCCGGACTCGGCTGTCGGGCTCTGCGAGGGTCCCTCGGGCGACGTCGACAGCAGCAGTGGAGGTTCAACGACAGTAAGTACCACCACTACCACCGCCAAGCTTCAAGTATCGACCGGACCCATCGACGCCCACGATACTTCTTTTTCAATCTCCTTTACTTTGCCGACCTACGGGCCTTTCACGCCCACTGCTTCTACCTCTGTCTCTGCCACTACCACTGCTGCTGCGACTGCTCAAGAAACCTCAAAGACATTGACACCTTCTTCTTCTCAGACGACCTCCTCCTCCGGCACCGGCACACAAGGCACATCCTCGTCCACCACCTCCTCGAGCGACGCACACTCCGCGGCTTTCTCCTGGGCCTCCGACTCTAGAGACCTTTGTCTGCTCGTCGGCAGCCTCATGACGTTGGCGGCTGTCCTTTGGAATGTCCAAGACCCTTTCTTTGGATAAATGCTTTCATTGAGCTTTATTCTTTCCTTCATCTTGGTCTTGGGTGGCTTCCTTGCTTGCAAACTTTTGGGCGACTGGAAAAAAAGCATGGCTTGGCTTGGTTTGCTTTGATTGAATGAACTGATTGCATATGAGACTCGAAAAAGAGCAGATCGGGTTCTCTTGGTAACGCATGCATGCATTGGGAGGAGTGTGGAATCTTTTCTTGGCATTGGGGGTAGGGTAGGGGACTGGCTGCATTGGGACGGCCTGGATTTGTTGCGCCTGAGCTGGTTCAGCCAGGCACCTTTTTTCCCTTCTTCTTCGCTTTCACGACCCGTTATGATACCAATGAAGACGAACAGTGGCTTTCTGTAGAATAGACAGACAGCCTTATTCCAATAACGATTACTTTACATCATATCTGCTCTACTGCCCTTCATCTCATTGAAGCCATTTGAATCCATCCATTCAGCCAATTCTAAGCTAAGCAACTGGGTCTGATCTACCCCCGGGAAGCGCCGCCTACATAAGAAAGTCTCTCCCTCTTTCTCTCTCTCTTCTCCTCACTGTTCTCTGTTCAGGGTCTAGAATCGGAGAATTCGCCGAGACATCAGCCAAACCCCTTCCGGCTGTGCGGGCAGTAAGCAATCCAACAAGCTGGATTCAGCCAACAACGACCCCGTAGAAAGAAGGCTACCTTCACCCGTCTCGCTACTCTCGCCGAGTGGAAAGTACCGGTAGCCTGGGTTCGGAGCGCTCCTCTTACGGCTAGAGCTCAAGTCTAAACAAGCTCCCTCCCTCTCTCGGCACCACGTCTCCCGACAAGGCGGAGAGAACTTGTGCCCGTGGGCGGTGAACCCCGCCAGAGACATGTGTCTCAACGCTCAGCTTTGATTTAGGCAACTTCCTAGTTCCGTCGCCACGTGTGGCCGGGTTTAACAGAAATCCGTTTTCATCGAGAGGCTGAGGCCTACTTTTATGGCAAACGGGAGCTCAGGCATTCTTTCTTCCTACGAGAAACTGAAGACACTGTCCGGGCAGCTGGGTTTGTGTGAAAATCAGATTGCACTACTAAACGAACTAACTTTTGGGTATCTGGCTAAGAGCAAAGTGTTCAAATGCCACTTGGAAAGAGCCGCAAAGGGCGGCAGAGCTATACTATAATGTTAAGAGCAAGGTAATTTGGCGTGAAATGTGGCCGATACATCGTCTCTAATGACGAAATCTCTCCTCATGAATGCACCAGCCCCCGTGCCAAGCTTTTTTGAAAACGCAAACGCAATCGCAGAAACGGCAAAACTCAAAGTACGCCTCATCGTTCCATCCTCTCGGGACCATCGTCTTCATCGTGTTTAAGCCGTGGTCTTAGCCTTCTTGTTGACGGCAGTGACGCCGGCCTCGTCGTTGGCACGCTTCCTCGTCTTAGACTGAGAAGGCTTGGGGTAATCCCAGTCGGCTGGGAGGTCAGGCAGGATGCTCTTCTGAATGGCATCGGCCCGCTTCGCTTCATCCAGCGTGTCAAGGACGATGTTGCGAGATGTCAAAGCGAAGCGACGCATACCCTTGGGGTCGACCGAGTGCTACAGCAAAGTTAGATGGAAGTCTTCACAAAAAGGGACGGGTAGTCAAACCTCGTAAGCCTGATGGATGCGAGTTCCGTGCATCACCACCATATCTCCGTGGCGGACAGGGAACTTGAGACAGGGAAGGCTGTCCTTCTTGACTCCCATGTACTTCTTCTTGGAGCGGAAGAGCATCTGCGCAGGGCTGCCCAGAGAGAGTGTGGCCACTGTAGGGCCCAGGGTGTCTTCACCATCGTCGTGGAACTAAGAACGAATTAGCCGCAAGAAGAATGGTCGGATCTTGAAATACTTACGCTGATTCTGTCCTGCTCCATGTATCCCAGAGACAGCACCTCGTTGAAGTCGACAAACTCATAAGAGATGGTTCCGCATCGAACCGCGTCAATGTTTGCGTCCCGGAATGAGGCGTTCGTCTTGTCGACAGTGATTCTGCCAGCCCATTGCATCCGCTTGAGGGCACCGATGATGGAGTTGGGCGCCTCACTGAAGGGCTTCGAAGCGACTGCAACAGCGAACTTGTAGGGAGCACCCCAATTCTGCATGAAGTGGCGGGTAAGCTTCTCGCTAGGGTCTACGATATGTTAGTTCAGTTCTGATCAGAAAGTTCTGATGAGAGGGATGAAATGACTCACGGTTAGGGTGGATGGCAGGGTTTCGTTGAAGACCAAAGTTGTCCGTGGCTGTCTCATGGAGAAGGTTGAGCCACATGTCGTCCGGGCCGCCCACTTCAGCGTTGATGGCCCTGGTCGAACGGAAGACCGTAACAGATCCAAGAACTACCGAGTTCTTGATGGGGTCAGGAAGTAGATACTGCTCGGCGGTGTATCCATTCGCAGTGTAGGTCTTCTGCAAGATCTGAGGGGTGGCAGTCCAAGGCTTTGAGAAGACCATTTTGGAAGTACGGTCTTCCTCGGCGTGAACATGGCTCAACGGGTAAGGTGCAGGCTTAGCCTCCAAGACGAAGTCGCAGTCTGAGGCCTCGTAAGCCCAGCCTGTCCAAAACTTGCGTCTCGAGCAGCAGCCACATCTGGGGCAGACCATGCCAACCCGCATGTACTTCTCCGTTCCCAGGGAGCCGTTCGCCGCTGTGCCAGGAAGGTTGGGCTTCAAGAGAAATCCAGCTGGGAGGACATTGTTGGTTCGCTCCTGGAGGAAGTTCTCTGAGTAAGTCAGAGACTTCTTGACGACACCAGCAGGGAACTCGAAGTAAGCCTCGCAGGTCTTGTTGAGGCAAGTCCATCCATCAGCAAAGATCGTCTTGCTACCCTCATGGCAATGTCTACACCAGGCCAAGTGAGCGGCGCAGGGCGAGGCGAAGGTAAGATCTTGAACGCTGATGTTGGAGGCGAAAACAAACGCTGCGTCGCATCTGCCATTCAGACAAGTCCAGGCCTGAGAGAAGATCTGGTTGGAATCGGTGTTGCAGCTCGTGCATGTACGCGGCATCTGGGGAAAACCAGGGGTCGAAGCAGTTGGCTGAGCCTCGGGTGCCCACCAAGATGACGTGCTCCGGTCTGTCTTCTCGAGCCGAACCTTCCAGATCGAAACACCCTCAGAGGTGCTGGTGTCAACCTCAGACCAGATGTCAGTGATGGAGAAGAAGTCCAGCACATTGTAGACACGGTTGGGCTTGAAAGATGCCTGGGGATACTGGTCACCTGCTAAGGTATTAGTAAATGGTTGAGACAGACTGGGGAGACTGGCTACTTACCAAGAATGACTGCGACAGGCAGATACTGCTCCTTGGCAGCGATAGCAGCCTTGACAAGAGACTCAGTAGCTGTGCCAGACTCAGTGCGAACGTAGACTCCATCGTCATTCTTCTTCCGTCCACCTCCGCTGATGCCATGTTAGTGTGTTTGGTGGAAGGACGATGGTGATGACTTACATAGTGGTGATAACGACCTCAGCACTAAGCATATCGCGCACAGAGACATGCTTGTTGATGAGAATGCCTCGGGCGATCTTTGAGTTGGTGTACATGCTGCTCTCGTGCGCCTTGTAGTAGCCCACGCTGTCGCAAAGAGCCTGACGGTTGTCAGCCCAGACCGGGGCTGTCTTGGAAGAAAGGGCCGCCATTGTTGGATGAGAGTGACGGTGAAGTTGAGTGCACAATGGGGTTGGTTGGTGGGAAGAGGTCTCTGGACGTTAACCTCAAGTATATATAGCAGTCCTCAGCTGGCTAGATTGACATGCGGAGAGGCGTGCAAGTATCCTTGGAATTGATCGCCTTGGGGGGAAGGGTGCTCCTGTGATAGACAAAAGGTCGTAGCAGCTTCAGGGTGCTGGTTGAGCCTGGAATGTTTGAGGTTAGCAGGCTGATGAGACACTGACCGAAATGTGGAGAAAGTCGAGGGCTTGAGGTATGGTAAGGTGGAAGAACACCACGACACACTGGGTCAGGTACTGACAAAGGTTGTGGCAGGGTCGTGGGAGGAGTCAGAGGTCGAAGGTGACAGAAGGCGCGTCCAGGGTGAGGAAATCTGTGCGCGGCTTCATTCTTGCAATTTCTGACGTGACAAAGAGGGTGAAAAGGGAGGCAGAACTGTGGATGGGGAAGGTGCGCGGGGGCACCAGGAAGAAGACTTACCTTGGTGTGGCGGTGGTGGTGGTTGTGGTGAGAGAGTGTGAAAAGGAGGAGGGGAGATGTGAGGGTGCCTTTATAGACGGTGGAAGGGACTCTGAAGGAGTCACGTGGGTGGGAGTGACGGGCAGAACAGGAAAGACCGCACCTGGTCGTTCTAAGAAGGAGGGGGGAAGGAAAAAGGCTAACCTCAACGTTAGACTCAAGTATCAAAAGACTTGTGTGATGTAGGTCAGTACTGTGGTATGTTATATTGTGAGAGATGAATCGGAAAAAAAAAGGTTCCTAGTGATTGGAAATGAGGTTGTGGTTGTGGTGGAAGAAAGGAGGGAGGGGTGAGGAGTTGTGAGGGTGATTTTATAGAAAGCAGAAGGGTCGGAGGGTGTCACGTGGGAGAGATCAACACAGGAAAGATCGCTTGATCATTCTTGAAGGATTCAACCTGTTAGGAAAGAGGGCAAAAGGCATGAACGGGAGGGACTCTTGAGGGAGTCATGTGAGGAGAACACACAGCGCGGGAAAGACCACACTTGATTGTTCTTGTAGGGCACAATGCGATAGGAAAGAGGGCAACAGGCAAGGCTAGTAAGAATGGTTTGAGTGATGATGTAAGAAAGGGGTAATGTACTCACCTTGTGATAGATAAAGGAGAAAAAGGTCGTCTGGTGATGGTGGTGGTGGTTGGTGGAGGAGATAAGTTAGGATGGTCTGGAGCTGAGCGTGCCTTTAAATAGTGATGCTCTGGAGGGTTCACGCGGGTATAACGCGCAGCACAGGAAAGACCTCAGTCGTACTCGCATGATATAACACAATGGGACTAAGGGTAGGCACAAACGGGCATACGATGCCAG